CATCATGGTTGTTTTTTGTGCCATCTTTTGGGGGGGTGAAAACCCCCGGGGGGGGGGTACGAGGGGGGGGGGGCGAAGGGGCCCCCCCCCCCCCCCCCCTGAGATGACCTACGGTTTTCTGAGACAACTGGTATTCTGCAAAAAAAAAAAACTATGTGGTTTATTGGTGTTGAAGTAGAGCAAGAGACGAGCGCACCCCCTCCTAAAAAAAATCCTGGATCCGCCCCTGACCTGTTTGGAACGTTGTGAAAGTAAAAAAGTAGGGGCAAGGACTGGAACACACTGGGATGGAAGTACATAAAAAATTATTCAGGAGTGAGGACAGGAAATTAGTGCACCAAACCCAACCGCATCAGCACCATGTTTGATACAAGTGTGAATGACTTGTGCCGCCCCAGGCTGTTGCTCAGTATGTACTGTACTTGATAGGTTTTGGTGTCGGCACAAAAGCTATCAAGTATATGTAGTGTGAACATGGCATTAGCTTGTTCAGGTTTAAATTCAGGCCATATTAATTTTGATCTCCGCATCTGTTACCTTAGGCAAGAAACACATTCTACCACATAAACTCTCAACCAAACATGCGGAGCTGGAAGAAGGTGAGGGAGGGAGGAGCTGACATCCCATTTAAAAATGAAAAAAATAATGCCTGCATCACAGAATGAGATGAAACTAAACCTCTGGTTAAGTCCGTCTGTGAAACAGCACTGAAATTCTTGTCCTGGGTCGCCACCTGCTGTGTACCAGCTCAAGTTTTGAGTATGTGCGATGATTGGCCTGGTAAAGAAAGCCATTGTTGATTTGCCAATCAGGTTAAAAGGAAATCTGAAATGCTCTTCCATTAATTTGTTGGTTCCATTAGCTAGAGGCCCTTAACAAAGATATCAGCACTGCTTCACAGACTTAACTAACCAGGATTAAATTACATCTGGACATCTGCAACACAGGCTATTGTATGTTAAGGTAGATAGAAAATAACAGATATCGCAAAACACTGATTCTGATTTTCTTACGAAAACCACAAAAAGGTGAATAAAATTTATTTCACACAAATATAATTCCTTTATTTTCAATCACAATCACCATAAAAGATTTCTCCATATAACGTTTGCAAACTTCCAGCAAAAACTGGATTTATGATTATTATTGTTCAAGCCATTCAATAAACCTCTGAAAGAATCTACAAATAATTGTCTACCCTTCTTAGCTGCACATAAATATATTTAATTTACAGTGTGAGTCTGTTATGTAACCAATCTATGCTTCAAACAAACTGATAAGAGTGCCAGATTTTATCTCTAACAGTCTTAAAAATCACCAGTTATATTTCAACCTTTCGCTTGTAACGTAAGCAATGTCACTGCCTTCAGTTCAGTAGGGACCCTTTGATTAAACTAAAAGTACAGTACTTTTACAAAGTATTTTTAAAGTGTACTTAAGTCAAGCGTACCCCCTAAGATTCCATTATTTTTAAATAATTAAAATGAATTTATTATTTAAAAGTTGTATCTGTTGGAAGTTGTAGATTTCAGAAATAATAATCATCTCTGCATATTTCCTGCATTCGTTTTGAGCAGTGAATTCACACACAAGGTAGTTATGAAATTTTTACCACCTCAGTATTCTTCAATATTTTGATGTAAATCTCTTCGAAGCAAGTTTGTCCATTCAAAGATGCTTCAATCTAACCGAATCAGAGAAATTATCATAGAAAATTCAATGCTCATTAGGAATGCAGGAGTCCAGATTGGAATTTGATACGAGTTGCAGCAACTACTTTGGGATAATAAATTCTTTGATGGAATCTTTAGGGGTACACTTGACCTGGCTTGCCTTTAGTTGTTTCCAGACTCTGCCTAAAACAATGTATTGACTACACTGTCTTGTAAATTATGCTTGTAAAAAATTTTTTAAATTGATCCCAGGATCGAAAATCTTAAGGTCGCCAATAATGTTTTTTTTTTGCTCAAGGGAACAGTAACATTCATGCATTTAACACTTCTTATAAATTAATTTATAAAGCAAATTTTACTATCAGAAGAAGGGTGACTGCTGCTAGAAAACAGTGAGAAGGGCAAACACGCCATATAAGAGAGCACAGGGATAAGCAACAAGAAGTTGTTGGGCATCCATGGCCAACACTGTCACAAAGAGCTTTGAAGCTGATAGGCTGCACCATCCAATAGTTGTGGCTGTCAGTAATGTCCCAATAATCCCCCTGTTAAACAAACAAAAATTTTCAGTGACCAGACGTACCAAGCCCCCTGGTTCTGCTGGGGTACTTCCGGTTTTGAGGTGAATCCTCCGGTGTCACGGTGATTTGGGAAGATTTTTGAGCAAACTGACATGGTCAGTATTTGAATTAAAATAATTAATAATGGTAATTGAACTAAGTGGAGTGCAATTTGGTCTGAAATCATACGTGTGATTTCAAAATCGAAGGAGCGCGCAGCGCGAGTTTGATTTGAAATCACAAGTATGATTTCAGACCAAAATTGCATGACACGAAGTTCAATTACCACTTTGTTACATCCATTTTGAAATCACAGAATTTAGTCAGTACTAATATTTTATTGATCGAGTAGCCGGTTTCTTAAAAAGCTGAAAAAAAAGGCTTTTACATCTCATTTTGTATTCGAAACAGAAATGATGTGATATATAGAACAAAAATAGTGCGATTTAAAACAGAAATGATGCGATTTAGAACATGAATGATGCGATTTCGAACAGATGCGATTTAGAGCAAAAAATGGTGTGATTTAGGAATAAATCACACTGCTGAGAGCCAATCAGATTGCACGGATAGCCAGTGATTTCAAAGTGGATGTAATAAATAAATAAATAAAAATAATGATAAAATTAATTGATCATTAATTGTAAAATACATACTCAGTACTGTAAAATGGCAAATAAACTGAGAGTTCGATGTATACCAAGTGTATTATTTAACCCATTCGCCCCTGAACCGCCCGTAACCGCCCGTGCGGATCCAGATCCTTTCTACCCTTTGTGACGTCATCAGTTTTAACGGTCAAGGACAACTTTTTTCGCTAACTTGTGTAGAGTGAAGAGATCTTTCAAACCATACCAGAATGAGCACAATTCAGTCAAGGAGACCGGAGAAAGAAGCAAAAAACCACGAGACATTGACCTGAAAATCTCCATGAAAATCTTGTTCCATTACCCACCTACCTTTCCTTTCACCTAATCCTAGGATCCTAAAAGCTTTCCTAAAAACTCTTCCCACCAAATTGAAGCCTACTAAATGCCCAGCAAGAAGAAAAAAAAAAATGAGGCAAGAAAAGCGAAAAAAGAAGGGAGGAGAGAAAGCGAAAAGTAAAAGTCAAGACTGCTGTGTCACTTTTAAACCCAAAAACTATGTCAAAATTTTGCTTTCTGCGCATGCCCGAACTTCGCAAGCTAATATTTTGCATCTGGATCAGAAGGCCGCGAAGTGTATGACCTGTAAACCAGTTTGTGGTAAGTTTTAGCCCTTTATAGCACGACAGTGACCAGAAAACCACTCGACTAGCTTCAAAACGCGTTTTTCGGCAAAATCTCCAGGAGTGAATGGGTTAATAGAAGAATGGTTGTAGACACTAAGAACACTTTCCTCTATCTTATACTAGGCCATGGACAAAAGTAATATTCCATCAGAATCTCCATGTTTCTGAGCCATCTCCTCAAGATTTTCCATATTTTCAGGTTGACAGGTCTGATTGACTGATCAGCGTACATGTTACATAATGAAGGAGCGAGTGGAATAGAGATCTACCTAAGTGAACCCTTTTTCCTTTATTTTTTGGTCTGCTTCTGCATCAGAAGCACTTACAGATGGACAACTGCATGAACTTCAACAATTACAAACAATATCAATATGACATAAATTTACATCTGAGTTTACAGTTCACTTTCAGAATTAATGAAAAAGAAGAAACAACTAAAAGATAATCATGGTTGTTTGGAAAAGTATTTGAATGGAAAAAGCAGTCAGTTCATGGTTAAGGTGAATGGTAAACAAAATGTGAAGGAATCGAAAAAATTCTATTGTCCAATCACATTTTTGACATTTGCACAGATCAATCCCATTTACTGAAAAATGGCTGCAACAGGTTGAAACTAGTGTCAAAAGGTGAATTTAGAGAAATTGAATATGAATTTCCTTTTAGGAGTTCACCTTCAACTCAGAAAACTGGAATGCATTTGCCAATGTTCTGTTGCTACCAAAAAAGTTCATTTAGAACAACCCAAAAGTCCTGTTCATTCAATTCCAAAAGTAACCACCCTTCAAAAGAAGCAATCCCCCAAAAAATACATGTAGGCCACTAAAATGTCCTAAAAGTAGTGTTCTTAGTGCCCCCAAGCATTGTATGACCAATGAAAATGCCATAGAATACTACGGGTGACAAATACTAGTAGTATAATAATTTTCCAATAAAAAGTAAAGTGATGTTATGCTAACTTACTGTAATGAAAGGAGGATAGATATGCCTGCCAATATAACCATAGGTAAAAGACAGTATCCAAGAACACTAATCACACAGCCAACAGAAACTCCTGTCATACTCATGAGATTTAATATAGCATACATGGAAAGGCAGCCTAAAAGACCAACTCCATAGATGTAGCCAAAACCATGAACTTTTCCTGACTGAAAAAAAAAAGTAATGTCAATTTTTCATCAAGGACTAAATCAAAAATACCCAATGAAAAAAAGACACCACTGCCCTTCAAAGCATTTTGAGGTTCTCCTCATTACATGTGTCAGGAGGGGAATGTGAATGAGGTATTATCCCATGGCTTAGCAATAAGAAGGCCTATACACTTTGTGTTAATTCTCTAAATACAATGGGACCCCAATATCTTTAACCTCTATATCTTCTTTACAACTCAACAGGAACAGGTTGTGTATTTAGGTAAAGGTTCTAAGTAATGACTTCAGTCCAGAATTGCCATAAAACAGCAATATCCTTATGACATTGCCACTTTAACTGCAAAACCTCTTGCAATTCTTGGCTGTTTGGTTTTTTCATGATATTTCATGGTATCAAGTAAACTACTGCTCCAGTAGTGGCGTGGGTATTTTTAATTTTTGCCTTGACTCTAAGAAGTGTAAAATATCTTCAGGTCAGGAAATATGTAGCCTGACTTACAGATGAAACTAAACCCCTGGTTAAGTCCTTCTGTGAAGCAGCACTGAAATCATTGTTCTGGGTCCCACCTGTGTACTTGGATATGAATGTGTGCCATGATTAGATTTTTTTGAAAGCCATTCAGTCTATTTGCCAATCAAAATGAAAGGAAATTCCAAACACATAACATAGTTCATTGAGTCTGTTGAGGGCCCGAAACAAGGATATTGGCACTGCATTGCAGCCATTACTAACAGATGTTAAATTACGTTTCAAACATATATGTTATCATCCAAAAGAATTGCTCTCTCTAACCAGTAGAAGAAATCCACCAAATGCCAGACAAAACACCAATGGTCCAGCTAGATCAGTATCATCCATAATGGAAGCTTCTGTATGTTGCAGTGGATTTAAAACAGACAATGTCTATAACAAGATAATAATTAGATTACAAAATCACTGAATTGTACTGATGGCATTGACTAGATGTACATGTCTGCAAATGCTATGTCTGCCGCAGTGGTAGTGGTGGACAAAACACTGACCCCCAGTCCATGGAATACCCTAAAATGGACTATGCCGCTGAAGTTTAGTGATTTAGGTTTTAGGAAATTGAAACAGAGTGAATCACGTTTAAGGTCAGTTTTACCAGTCTAATGACCCTTAATGGAACCTGATTCATTCCGTTTCCTTTGGTAAACTTCAGCGGCTTAGTCTATTTTAAGGTGGTCCATATGGGTAGCCCATGGGGGTAGTCCTTGGACAGCTTGGCGGTCAGTGTTTTGTCCACCATCTCACTAAAAAGTTTCAAACATCAATAACATGATTATACAATTAAGAAGGGTAGGTACATACCCCGGGGACGGGGAGGGGGGCACTTGGGTATTTTTTGGGTGGGTATGTGCTGCCCGGAACTCCAAATTGGCACCCCGTTCTAAAAAAAAATTCCCCTAAAATTGATACCCCGTTCTAGAATTTGCCCTAAATCTGATACCCCGTTCTACAAATGGGCCAATTTTTTATACTCCATTCTAGGGTGCAAAGAGTACAACAGTTTGCTTGTTAATGCATTGAACCGTATTTTTAAAAGCAATCTGACCTTGAATAATTTCAAATGGCCGCTTACAAAACTGGAGCTTTCGTGATTTCGAAATATTATACCCCGTTCTAGAAAACGCCTCTGAAATGGATACCCCGTTCTGAATCAGGAGCTTCAAAATCACGACCCCGTTGGGCGGCACATACCCGTATAGGTAATGTATGGGAGTACTCTCCCCCCCCCCGGGGGTACATATAAGTTTACATGAAAGATGTGTTCTAAAACATGAAACCACTCTCCACTGCCCAATATAACCTTACCTTAAGCCAAATGTGCTCAAAATTGATACCTAATTCTGCAAGAAAGGGGAGAAATATTTCATTCGTCGATGTGAATCAATTCCAAGTGTAAACTTTAGCAAAGCAAGTTTCTAAAACACCTAGTAACGCCATATAAGTGAACGACAGCAATGCAGGGGGCAATTTCCGCTGGGACCCGTGCATGCCACGTTGTTACGTACCTTCCAACAGCGGAGGTTCATCCTCAAAACTTGTGTAGTCTTCGCTTGTTTGTCGAGGTTTCATGGATCCTTGCACACCATAACCCCCTCCAATACCCGAACCCAGAGTTGTAGGACCTGAAGCACCATTTAGAAATTTTTAATTTGCCATTGATCCCTTGTGTTAATCACATGTAGGTCTATTAAGAAGTACAACAGCAAACTAAAAATCCCTCAAAGGGCTCATTTTCTCTGTCTTTTAGTTGGGCAGGTGGATAACGGGTAAAAATATGAAAACATTCATTTCTGCCGAAAGAAGGGAGTTCCTATTGCCTCAATGAGGTTGCAAGTGGTTCACTGATCAGTATTAGGCTATTTTTACACCATGGAAATGATACAGAATAAGACTTCTGTTCACTCACAAGAACGGTAATTTTGGTGTCATTTCTGTAAGGGTTGTAAAGCTGTGCCTGTGCCACGCCTAGCCTCCCACGCAGACGTTCTTAGGGGTTCGTCACGCGTTAACGCGTCTGCATGGGAGGCTATGCCAAACCAATCTTGAAAGTCGAGAATCACCAATCAGATTAGACTGCAAAACAGTCCGTATTTTTGCGTATTCAAGTACGCGCGAGCAGTCAAGCAAAAGGTCTGGAATGAGGCTGAAAACAGAGTGTGAGGCTCGCGCGTAAGACTCTAACGCCACGCTTTACCGATTTCTTTACTGATTTTGAGAAAAAAACCGACTGTTTTGCAGTCTACTATCAGATACGTTTTGTGCCACACTTTGGTGCAGTGTAAACACCCGTGAGGATCGTTGCGGAGGTAAATAAGTCGGGGCAAGGACTGGAACACACTGGGATGAAAGTAAACATTCAGGAGTGAGGACAGGAAATTAGTGCACCGAACCCTCTCGGCCAACCGCATCAGCACCATGTTTGATGCAAGTGTGAATGACTTGTGCGACTTCAGGCCGTTGCCATTTATACTGTACTTGATAGGTTTTCGTGTCGGCACAAAAGCTATCAAGTATATGTAGTGTGAACATGGCCTTAGTCAGCTTGTCCAGGTTTAAATTCAGGCCATATTAATTTTGGTCTTTGCATCTGTTACCTTAAGCAAGAAACACGTTCTACTACGTAAACTCTCAACCAAACATGCGGAGCTGGAAGAAGGTGAGGGAGAGAGGAAATGACATCCCATTTAAAAATGAAAAAAAAAAACATGTTTAAGAGTCTAGCTCAAGATGAAGAGTCATTTGCTGGGTGCTGGCTGAATCATGAATCAGTTTTAAAAAAGTTGGCTGTTGCTTGTTGGCCTGTGTCATGGAATGAGATGAAACTAAAATAAAAACCTCTGGTTAAGTCCATCTGTGAAACAGCGCTGAAATCCTTGTCCTAGGCCCCCGCTCATGTACCAGGTTTTGAGTCTGCGCCATGATTGGCCTGGTAAAGAAAGCCATTGTTGATTTGCCAATCATGTTAAAAGGAAATTTGAAATGCTCTTCCATTAATTTGTTGGTCCATTAGCTAGAGGCCCTTAACAAGGATATCAGCACTGCTTTGCAGACTTAACTAACCAGGATTAAATCACATCTAGACATCTGCAACACAGGCTATTGTATGTTAAGGTAGATAGAAAATAACAGATATCACAAAACTCTGATTCTGATTTTCTAAAAAGGTGAATAAAATTTATTTCACACAAATATAATTCCTTTATTTTCAATCACAATCACCATAAAAGATTTCTCCATATAACGTTTGCAAACTTCTAGCAATTACTGGATTTATGATTATTATTGTTCAAGCCATTCAATAAACCTCTGAAAGAATCTACATATAATTGTCTACCCTTCTTAGCTGCACATAAATATATTTAATTTACAGTGTAAGTCTGATATGTAACCAATCTATGCTTAAACGAACTGATAAGAGTGCCAGATTTTATCTCTGACAGTCTTGAGTATCACCAGTTATATTTCAACCTTTCACTTGTAACGTAAGTAATGTCACTGCCTTCAGTTCAGTAGGGACCCTTTGATTAAACTACAAGTACAGTACGTTTACAAGTGTAACTTTAAAGTGTACTTAAGTCAAACATACCCCCTAAGATTCCATTATTTTTAAATATTTATAATGAATTTGTATAGGTAATAGCATGATTTGTAGTGATATTTGGCTCAAATACCACGAGTGATATTTTCGAAATTGTTATACGTAATTTCAGGAGCCATGAGGCGAGTGAAATTTGAGACAATTTTGAAATATCACGAGTGGTATTATGCCAAATATCACGTACAAATCATGCTATTATTTGTTTATACTACTACCCGCAAAGGGTTTGTGATTTTCACATGTAGGTATTTCAAATTAAGCTGAAATACCACTGCTCTAAGCCAATCAGATTGCAGAAATTTCTCATGTAGTAGTATAAATTACTTAAAAATTGTATCTGTTGGTAGTTGTAGATTTCAGAAATAATAATCATCTCTGCATATTTCCTGCATCAGTTTTGAGCAGTGAATTCACACACAAGGTAGTTATGAAATTTTTACCACCTCAGTATTCTTCAATTTGATGTAAATCTCTTTGAAGCAAGTTTGTCCATTCAAAGATGCTTCAATCTGACCAAATACAGAGAAATTACGGAAAATTCACAGCTCGTTAGGCATGCAGGAGTCCAGATTGGAATTTGATACTACTTGCAGCAACTACTTCGGGATAATAAACTCTTTGATGGAATCTTTAGGGGTACACTTGACCAGGATTTCCTGTAATTGTTTCCAGACTCTGCCTAAAACAATGTATTGACTACACTGTCTTGTAAATTATGCTTATAAAACTTTTATTACATTGAACCCAGGATCGCAAATCTAAAGGTCACCAATAATGTTTTTTTTTTCTCAAGGGAACAACAGTAATATTCATGCATTTAACACTTCTTATAAATTAATTTATAAAGCGAATTTTACCATCAACAAGAAGGGTGACTGCCGCTAGAAAACAGTGAGAAGGGCAAACACGCCATATAAGAGAGCACAGGGATAAGCAACAAGAAGTTGTTGGGCATCCATGGCCAACACTGTCACAAAGAGCTTTGAAGCTGATAGACTGCACCATCCAATAGTTGTGGCTGTCAGTAATGTCCCAATAATCCCCCTGTTAAACAAACAAAAATTTTCAGTGACCAGACGTACCAAGCCCCCTGTTCCTGCTGGGGTACTTCCGGTTTTGAGGTGAATCCTCCGGTGTCACGGTGATTTGGGAAGATTTTGGAGCAAACTGACATGGTCAGTATTTGAATTAAAATAAATAAATAAATGAAAATAATGATAAAATTAATTGATCAGTACTGTAAAATGGCAAATAAACTGAGAGTTCGATGTATACCAAGTGTATTATTTAATAGAAGAATGGTTGTAGACACTAAGAACACTTTCCTCTATCTTATACTGGGCCATGGACGAAAGTAATATTCCATCAGAATCTCCATGCTTCTGAGCCATCTCCTCAAGATTTTCCATATTTTCAGGTTGACACGTCTGATTGACTGATCAGCATACATGTTACATAATGAAGGAGCGAGTGGAATAGAGATCTAGCTAAGTGAACCCTTTTTCCTTTTATTTTTTGGTCTGCTTCTGCATCAGAAGCACTTACAGATGGACAACTGCATGAACTTCAACAATTACAAACAATATCAACAATGACAGAAATTTACATCTGAGTTTACAGTTCACTTTCAGAATTAATGAAAAGAAGAAACAACTAAAAGATAATCATGGTTGTTTACAAAAGTATTTGGATGGACAAAGCGGTCAGTTCACGGTTAGGGCTAAGGGTAAACAAAATTTGAAGGAATTGAAAAAATCCCATTGTCGAATCACATTTGCCATTTGCACAGATCAATCCCATTTACTGAAAATTGGCTGTAACAGGCTGAAACTAGTGTCAAAAGGTGAATTTAGAGAAATTGAATATGAATTTCTTTTCAGGAACATTCAGCTCTGTTGCTCCCAAAAAGTTCATTTGGAACAACCCAAAAGTTCTGTTCATTCTCCTTTAACTAATTCCAAAAGTAACCACCCTTCAAAAGAAGCAATCCCCCCAAAAATACATGTACGCCACTAAAATCCCCTAAAAGTAGTGTTCCCAGTGCCCCCAAGCATTGTGCAACCAGTGAAAATGCCACAGAATACTAAGACTAATACCAGTAGTATAATAATTTTCCAATAAAAAGTAAAGTGATGTTATGCTAACTTACTGTAATGAAAGGAGGATAGATATGCCTGCCAATATAACCATGGGTAAAAGACAGTATCCAAGAACACTAATCACACAGCCAACAGAAACTCCTGTCATACTCATGAGATTTAATATAGCATACATGGAAAGGCAGCCTAAAAGACCAACTCCATAGATGTAGCCAAAACCATGAACCTTTCCTGACTGAAAAAAAAAAGCAAAAGAAATGTCAATTTTTCATCAAGGACTGTCATCTTAGATCAAAAATACCCAAGGAAAAAAGACACCACTGCCCTTCAAAGCACCTCCAGCATAAAAATAAAGCATTTTGAGGTTCTCCTCATTACATGTGTCAGGAGGGGAATGTGAATGAGGTATTATCCCACGGCTTAGCAATAAGAAGGCCTATACACTTTGTGTTAATTCTCTAAATACAATGGGACCCCAATATCTTTAACCTCTTTATCTTCTTTATAACTCAACAGGAACAGGTTGTGTATTTAGGTAAAGGTTCTAAGTAATGACTTCAGTCCAGAATTGACATAAAAGAGCAATATCCTTATGACATTGCCACTTTAACTGCAAAACCTCTTGCAATTCTTGGCTGTATGATTTTTTCATGATATTTCATGGTATCAAGTAAACTACTGCTCCAGTAGTGGCGTGGGTATTTTTAAATTTTGCCTTTACTCTAAGAAGTGTAAAATATCTTCAGGTCAGGAAATATGTAGCCTGACTGACAGATGAAACTAAACCCCTGGTTTAGTTTAGTCCTTTTGCAAAGCAGCACTGAAATCATTGTTCTGGGCCCCACCTATGTACTTGGATATGAGTGTGTGCCATGACCGGATTTTTTTGAAAGCCACTGTCTATTTGCCAATCAAAATGAAAGGAAATTCCAAAC